GTAAACTCTACTTCTAGCTCTTGACTACCTCAAAAATTTTATAAAAAAATGCATGAATGATAAAATGATAATTCAGGTCGTTGATGTTTCACTCTCCTCTCCGACTCTTGATTTACAACAAGTTATAGAATTTATATTGAAGGTTAACACCAATTCCGCTCTACTTGATGTTTATTTCCTCATCATGTAGCCAGTTCTACGAGAAGCATGCTACTTGAGAAAAAAACAGTTCATCCATGATATAACACTTTAAAATATCATAACTTACAATCGATGAATTTGATTTTGTTGTCCGAAAGGCAAGTCTAGTTAAAAAATGAAGTCACTTTCTCTACATTCACTCCACTCTAGGTGAGGTAACCCCTTGCTGTTACCAAGATGTCTCTCACGCATTTCACCTCCCATATAGATCAATCCAACTTCAAAACACCAAATCTTTCTCATTATATTCTAGTCTAAGTCTTACGAATGCACCATGAGGAAAGTTTGAGAGAAAAATGAGATATTCAGTGAGTAATCATGAACAAAGATTTCTTAACATGAAGAAAGATCAAAAGAACTATTTCTCAGTTTGAAATAGAAAATTTTACTAGGCAATTGTCCCTTCTACACTCCAAACTCCTAACTTTATAGCTACTAGGGTGGCTTGGCATCCACCCAGAGCCAAACCACCCAACAAAAAAGTCCAAGACACACTTAACAAAGAAAAAAAATTACCCTTGGCTTCTCTTCAAGGGTCAAAGATATCTTTCCTCTACTATCTAATCTTATCCTAATATAGTGATATGCTTCTTTCGTGATTTGAGGTACACTTGCTGACACATGCAAAGATCAGCTTCAATCCATAGCTTTGCTTTTCAAGATGTCACACAGCCGTCTTCATCCTCTCCCAATTAAATTTTTGTCTATAATGAGCGTTGTCAATTGAAAGCTTCACATCTACACTTAATGACACTCAAAGTTCTCATACTAACTACTTTTGCATCTATCAAGGCCATGGAGTATATCTTCATTGAATAATGAGAGAACTACGTAATAAAATTGAGCTTTATTCTGTGATCAACACTCCGAAATGGAGGTTCACCAAGTACTTAATGATCTCCGAGAAACATAATTGTATTGACTATCTTCCACAAAAAGCAGAAGAGGAGACAACAAAAGTTTGCCTTAGGATGCTTGAAATGGATACGTAGAGAATATACCTTCGGCATACTTACAAGATCAGATCCTGGTTTTACAAATTTCCGTCAGAGTGATGGTCTTCGGTGGGATAAAACCAGAGGTAGATGCGCTGCTGTCAGTCACCTTTGCTCTTGGAAAAAACATTCATTTGAAGTATATATGGTTCTTCAATGATGTTTACAAGAGTTTCAAAGTCCTACTCACACCATTTTTTAAACATCAAGGCAAGATAATTGATTGTGTTAATACTAGCCGAGTTTTCACCAACTAGCTTCAGCTTCATGCCAATATAATAGTAGAGAAAAGGATCCATCTGATCTCATTTCATCTGATCCCAAAGCAAAATTCACCACTTCCACTCCTGATCAAAACTTGCTGAGGTTTGTCGAATTGCCGGAGTACCTTCAACTAGTGATCACAACTTGCTGCGATCTTACTCTCGTGATCAAAATTTGTTGCAATGTTCCTCTTGTGATCACAACTTGCTACAATCTTCAATTCGTGATCAGAACTTGCTGCTATCTTCCTCTTGTGATCACAACTTGCTGCAATCTTCAACTTGTGATTTGAACTTGCTGCAATCTTCCTCTCATGATCAGATTTTGTTCCAATCTTCCTCTTATGATCACAACTTGCTGCAATTTTCCTCTCGTGATCAGAACTTGCTTCAATCTCCCTATAGAGATGACCGCATGTTTGGTAAAAACCATTTTTTAAGTTGTGAGATTCTTGGATTTTCTCTTTTTCTACGGTGTGTAGACTTGCGAGGTAGAACATCGGCTGTTCTATTCTCTTTAACTGCCTCTCCATCCTCACTCTAAAGACTTCCCTTCTGAATCCATTTTCTATTCAATAGATCTCAAGCATATGGAATCTATTTTCTGAATTTACAGTATAAAATCTGCAACTTTATGTCAAATCCGTTACTAAAGATATTCACATTCATCTCCAGCTTTAAATCCAGGATCTCCATTTTTGCTTCAAAACTCCATGTCACTTTGTCATCTGTAGAAGAACGATACTGGAACTGAAATCTCTCAAAAACTACCTTCCACTCGATAGTTTCCAATCTGTTGCTGTTGCTCATTATCTCTAGCACTCAAAGATGTACTTGGCTTCGCCACCTTTATTCGCCAATAACGGCTCGGGGAAGATAACCTAAACTGTTATCCAATTTAATATGGAAACATTGTCGGGAGGTCAATGGTGAATAAACAATACAAATTTGGATTTTCTTACTTTACTACTTTCTAATCTATGTTATTTTAATAGATTTTCTTTGAAAAAAAAACTAAAAAATTTACTGTTATTGTTCCTATCTAAACAATAGTCACCTCACACTCCACATTATTGTATACATGAGATTGTGCATAGTTTTGTCATAGGAAATTAGTGATATCTTTACCTTTCGATGATACGATTGACCACTGAATTACAGTAAATTTTATAATGTGCTACCAAAGAAATACATATTCTTTTAGAATTTCCAGGTTAAAACATGTAAAGCATACATTGAAAGTTATTGCCTTGATTCAACTGTAGATTTTTTAATGTAACTCTCTATAAGAATCTATCTCTAATATAATCTTGGATTTATTCAAATATTTTATTATATATATAAACTTGGCTTTTACATCGAATTGATTTTTTTCCAAGATAAACATCTCATCCAGATAGAATTTATTAAAAAAACTGGTTGTGAATGTAAAATGGGACTCGCATAACATTATCATTGTCAAGAGCTTTGATATGATACAACCATGAGAAATAATAGTATCCTGGTATAATGATTCCCAAAACAATCGTGATGTAGCCGATGATTTTCTTGCCCAATGATTGACACTTGCAAGATCCTGCAAGTGCTTAGTATCAGTTCAAACTCTAGTCTTGAGAAATTTCGTCTTGGCTTCTACTTCTCTCCGTGTGTCAGTAGATCGAGGAATTTTCACTCCATCCAGAATTTGATGAAGGTGGATAGCATCCTCTTGAGAGAAGTAGGAGTCAACTATGGGGGAGAACTAACATCCTGGATGCATAGAGCGAGACAAGTACAGAATCAAAGGATTCGGGTTCAATGGTGAGTAGCAACTCCTTAGCAGCAAGGTGGTTAAGATCGAAGGCCGTGTACACAGAATCTTTGAGAAGGTTTCTCAATTTTCAAGATACCCCAGTCTTAGCTTGAATTAATCTGGAGTATTCGTGAGTCCTCTCCAAATGGGAAGCAAGATGGCAAAACTTCGACTAAGATTGCCATGTCGGTAGCCGACGAACACAGAAGTGGAACTTTTCACAGTCCGAGCCCAAAGTTTTCGAATAGGACTACCAGTAGCAGTACCAACTGAGATGGTTCGAATTATGTTCTATATAACGGTACGAATACCGAAATCCCATCGAAAATTTTAATGGGCATTGCTATATATGCTGAATTGTGGACTTCACATTCTCGTGGTGGTCTTAGCGGCCTACAGATCGATTTCCCTCACAGTGTGATTGGCTCTAAATTCTTGCTGCGCAGCCCATACGGTTTCCATGCCTGTTTCCAAAATCATGTGAGTTCCATGAAATGTTCCTCATCGTTCCCGATCCAAGTGTGTTGAACAAAGCCACGAACCAAGCTAATTCTAGAACGAAAACAGAAACGCACGAATTGGAAGCACTCGTCAAGTTTCTACCAAGGATCTGGTTATGACCGTGTACAGTCACAAAGACCTTCTTCACGATTCCTTGGGAAGCATGAGATGACTATATTCCTCCACTTTTCCAGACATCCTAACTTTGTGTATTAGTTTTATACACAAGAGTGAGGGAGCGAAGGTTTTCTTGTTCAAAATTACATAATGAACAGTTGCAGAACAGTCTAAATCTTCTCGACCATGTTGTGCGCCAATTTGCTGGTTTGCTGATGGCTGAGCGCACAATCCGAACTCAGTATCTTGTTCATTTCCAAGTAGAGATTACACCCCCTGCACAAAAAGCCTGGAGAAGCTGCCACTCTGATAAATTCACTCCATCCTGTAGGTACAGCATCAGGTAGAAAAACCCGGAGGTTAGATATTAGAAAGACCTTAAAAATGCCAATGAATACACGACTTTGGATAAGTGATCGAGAATAAGATCTTGAGCATGTTCCCACCATCAAAGACCACATGAAGCAAGGCTACCAGGGGCCAGTTTCCTACATGGTAGCCTAAACATAAGCATGTCGGTGAAGGCAAGCTCAACACTGGAAATATACATCAAAGGTCTTCGAACACGATGGCTCCTATATTCTGCGTCTCACAGTAACCAATCCAGATTTTCGCCGAATTTCTTGCAATGTAAAGTTCAAGACCAATTCGCGAGTAATGAGGAGAACATGGGCCGAGCATCTGCCCACGTATAAGACTGTTATACCACTCTTGCGGAAATTCTGCTAATGAGGCTAAGCGCTGGGTCAATTCGAGAAAACTTGGAGTTGCAGATGACAAAGTCCACGGCACAAAGTCTGGATTATATCGCCCAACTTCACGGTCAGTGTTAAGTCTGCTATGCACTGCATGTTGCAGAGTAGTGCTTCAGAGTGATCCGGGGCCAACATTATACAAGAGTCTGTAACGAAGTCAATGCATGCACAGCTCTGGACCAGGAGATCTCTCCGGATGTTTCCGAGATCGGTCCACAACATTCGCGCCTGGCCGTACGAGCCGATCGTGAGCACTCCGGTTGCGCTGGTATTGGCAGAGAGAGAGAAAGAAAGAGAGAGAGACCAAAGCCACGACTCTCTCCAATCGGTATAAGATCACGCGCAGATGCACCTGCAAGCACAACACAGCTGCCTCCGGTTCATTTCTGAGTACTCTCTTCGTACTCTTCTAGCTCGGTTTGCTACGTAAGTTCGCTCAACGATAGCTTTGACATGAAATTGAGCTTGGAAAGCTTTTACCTTTATGATCATTTACAATTAGAGTACCTCCCTCGCTGACGAGACCTTTTGCTCTTGGATATTTCAGAAAATGGACAGTGTCAGAATTATGATGGTTCGTGATCTGCTTAACTTCAAGGTTCTGGTCCTCCTCATATTTGCATCCACGTACGTCAGTGCCGGACCTGTATACGCTAACACCAAATGGACGGACTCCCATGCGACGTTCTACGGTGGAAATAATGCTCAAGGAACGATGGGTGCGTTCTAGATTTTTCACATGAGCAGCATTAGCATTAGCATATAATCTGAGCTCTGCAATGCTGAATTGTAGCTATTTGAACTCCGAGAAGTGTGCATGTCATCATCATTCTGGTCAACAAACTCAACGTGTTCCGAGACAAATAGTCGGGAATTCCTCTCGCCAAATACGTGGGGACTGATTTTGGATAGTCATAGTAAGCGTTCATTCTTGAAGGTTGAAGTTTGAGACTTTGCATTTTATTTTTTCTTCTATCTCCAGGAGGCGCATGCGGATATGGAAATATGTACTCCAGAGGTTATGGTCTGGAGACCACGGCCTTGAGCTCGACTCTCTTCAACAAAGGGCTTACTTGTGGCGCCTGCTTCGAAATCAAGTGCAAGGTGGCTGACACCAGATGGTGCTTTCCCAAGGCTGGTTCCATCAAGGTCACTGCCACAAACCTCTGCCCTGCAAATCCTGCGAGACCCACCAACAATGGCGGGTGGTGCAACCCGCCCAGGACTCATTTCGATCTGTCGTATCCGATGTTCACTCGCCTGGCCAAAGCAGTGGGAGGCATCATCCCCGTGCAGTTTCGGAGGTGATCATCTTCTCACTGTATATGCATTACATCGAAGTGAAATCTTACATCGCTCCTGCGGTCTCAGCCAATTATGTTTATGTCTTTTTTCCACGGTGACATCGAACTTGCTCTTACGTAGGACTCATGAGGTGCAACCCGATTGCATAAATATGAAGATTGCACCACAAATGCATGCCTGGTCATTTCTGAGGTTGCAACATCTGTTATATATCGTGAGTAACACGCATCAATAGCAAATTCCAAACGTCTGACGAGTCCTTTGTTAGTGCAGAGTACCATGTGTGAAGGTTGGAGGAATACGTTTTGTCATGAATGGCAATCCATGGTTCAACCTCGTGCTAGTTTACAATGTGGCTGGAGGTGGAAATGTGGTGAACATGCAGATGAAAGGTTCCAAAACCAACTGGTTCACGATGAGGCAGAATTGGGGACAGAACTGGGAACTCAAGCAGAAGCTGAAGGGACAATCCATATCGTTTCGGATGACGCTTGGCAATGGAAAGGTGATGATTGCCAACAACGTGGCCCCAGCAAACTGGAACTTCCAACAGACATTTGAATCCGATAGCAACTTTTAGGCTTCCTCGAAAACTGCGGCCAGCTGAATGTCTGTCATAATTCTCAGGCAATGCACATTACTTGAGCCAGCACCATATTTCAGCTGACTAAAATCGGCCGCTTGTAGCTCGCGATTCTCAATGCAGGTGATGACGAGCTAGGCAATCTTGAATCGTGACTGATAATAAACGGGGGAGGCGTGTAGAGACGAGGGGCGCCCACCGTTGTACGAGCAAACGCGACTGGATGGCTTGAATCCAAGAGGTGTCTCAATACACAGAAGAAACTACTTCACCCATAGGTTCATGTGGCGTGTGTATTTGGGTTCCAGGTCGTTGTACCAGAAGAATCAAGCATAGTTTGTGCAGTGTAAGATACTCCAGCTCGAAACAGAGAGTTGGAGGTAAACGCGGAGGAGGTGAGATCATCAAAACCACCCGCCACGACAAAGTGAGGTATTAAGTTTCACAATCAAAAGAAGTAAGATGGTTTACCCGGTGGTCGAGACCCTGCAGCTGGAGTGCCTTTCTGATGCCATTGCACGCTGAGCGTGCGGCGAATGTTCTCCTAAAGCAGTCCACCACAATGTAAACCAGATATCTGTTGTAAATTAGGCTGATAGCTCGAGGTGTAGGCAGATGAAGCCCACCCGCTTGAAGATGTAACTTTAGTGTTCGATGAAGCTACTGACTGTGACCAGACTGTGAACTTGCAAGCCGAGATGCAGGCGAACCGATGCCCATCCGCTAAAACAAATTGACAGTTAGATCTACAGACTGTCCTATAGTTGCTGAGTTTTGAGCCGATTTGCCAACCAGCTCTATAATTAGTCTGGTACAGAATAATGGACGTGGACATTTTTGGTTCATGCAAGAAGTGTCTTCGTTACCTATCCGTGATGCTTTGACTGGAAAGAGTCATGTCTTTTCTTCAAAGCCATGATGAAGAACAAGTTTGAGAATCTTGATAAGAATGCTGATGTAGCTGCCATCAGTGATATTAGCTAGCTAGCTAGCGGCGAGGCTTACTACTTCATCATTGGACTTAGAATAAATCATGCAAGTCATCATGTTTTAAAAGGATTTGTTAGCCTTGTAGAAATTGCAACATTCACAGCTTGTGTAGGGAAACTTGTGTACCTTCACAAATCCTGTTCGTCAACATTTCTGGTATCAGCTTGGGGGTTATCTAAGGGCCCCGGTGATGCTCTTACTGTTCTTGCACATGCATATCAACCAGCATTGCAATTCTCAGCATAATCGAATTCCACATTTTCAAGAGCAAGCGAGTTGTGTTTACAAGTGTATATATATCACGGAAGTGCATTTGTTCTAAAACAAAAACTGGATTTGCTTGAACACAACATTCAAATGGACTTATTCTAATATGAACAATTGCCTCTTGCAACAGATGCCCATGCCAATCAGAATCATAAGCTGTATCAAATCATCTATACGATATCAGTTGTCGAAGCTTCTCCTAGATCGCCCATAGAGGGTATTATTCAGCTGTGATGGTTGAATGAAGAGTTTAAGTGCAACATCAGTTCCAAGCCCTTCGACTTCCCTTTCGGGGTTAGGGGTGGATCGGATCGTAAGCATAATGGCCTAATCAAGAAGTAAGCATCAGGAATCTGAAGAACGCAAAACTGTCCTGTAATAACAAAGCACCCACAAATTATCAGGCATGTCTAGGAGGCGACATGGCGTTATTACCTGTCCAGAAATAGCAGTATATAGTACCAAGACATATAGAGAGCTCAACAAATAGTTCATGAAAAAGCAAGAACATTCCCCGGTGTCAACATCACTCATCTTTGCTTGTACAAGTATGTGGTGTGACGCACTGAGCACGAACCAATTTGGTTGTTCGAGCCAAGCTTGTAACGTGACAAGTGGGATATATTCCCCGAAATTTCCGGAAAATTTAGAATCTTGCATGGAACTAAAATAAGATTCCCATCAGCGAAAATAAGGCTCGTCAGATGAACTCTTTCTGCAATATGATCAAATTTGGCCTACCAGTAGCAGTTGACTTGATGCATGACCATCATGTGACTGTTCAAAAGTCGCATCAGCAATCCTGACAAGAGACTCGGCTGATATAAACTCTAAGAACCGGCATTTATCAAGTTCTCGAAGGGAGCTTGCAGGCCATGCATGCCATCGGCTATTATTTTGTAAACTGAAAGAAATTTTCTCCATAAGTTTCAAGGTGTGAGCGGATACCTTGGTCACGATAATCAAAACATATCCACAATAAACTTCCTTAAACTAACCCAAGATTACAGAGTGCCCGTACTTAGAGAGATGTACTCCAATTCGGACTCGATTCACTACTTCGAATGCCTTCTTGACTAATTAAAATCAGCATAAGTACATTCATGTGCATGGAAGCAAGCACATAAAGTGACAAACAGTTTCTTGGCTCAGAATAATAGGATCCAGCAAGCTTATCATTTCTGGCTTTCCCGTGCTTTTTATGTCTTTGTCTCCATCAAAGGGACAAAAGTACAAAATCATCTAAAGGTCAAAATTTTCACAAGTAGAGAGTTCAGCTTTTTATTATCCTAAAAAAAAAATTATAGATATATATCATCTAAAAAGATAATATACAGCGATGACAAACTTTGGAAAAAAGAAAGTTTCTAGATAAGAAAACTTCAAAGACATTTAACCAAAAATGTCTTTATATCGTAAAAGTATATTTTATGAAATACTATCTAATAGATATCACAAATTGGAAAAAAAATTAGGTATAAAGATGTTCAATAATACGAAGATATAATCATTTATTCATATAAAAAATTAACTATGAGCCCGTGAATCTTTTTTGAAAGAAATGATAAAGTCATGTCTTCATGATTGAAATTCTAGAAATATTTTCAAATGTTTGCACATACACATCAGATAATATACTATTGTAGAAAATCATACATCAATATAAGTGTATCACACTATTCAAAATATATTTGTTTTGAAAAAACTATAAGCTAAGAAGAACACTGAAAACTTACTGAGACATTGTGATTGAGATATATTTGATCTTAATATCGTGGAATGTACATCGAATTATCATAATAAGCTACTCTTCTTTCATAATTTGAACATGTAATGAAAAGTTTATAGTCAAGACAATCCCACTCCATGCTTCAAAGAATCCAAGTTATCACTCTAGCTATATTACACAATAAATAGATTCTCGAAGTGTTAATCTTTGTAATCCTAATAACAATATTTTGAACTCTAGTACTGTCAGTCAAGTTGTGGGTTGTTATAAATGTTTGACCGTTGCAGCGCGAATTACGTCAACTGCACAATCCGCTGAGGCATTTCCACAAGAACTCATAACTAGGCGAAAAAAAATTCCAATTTTCACCACAAAAACCAAATTGGATTATACAGATCAAGTTGTCGCGAAACTATATATCACTTAACATCAAGTGAATTACATGACTCTCAGAAGAAAAGTTTCGAACTGAAATATAATCTCTGGAGAGAGAAACGTACGAGAAAGACTTAGTAAGAGGAGAGTAGATAGCAATGGCCTCAATGAATATGGCATCCACTTGTAATGGGCTATGGATGTGCGGACTGCCCAATGCAAGTGAGCCCTCACTCTCCCTCCTTCCCTCTCCCTCTCTCTTCTCAATAACTTCGGGTACATTATGGTGTGCATGGAAAATGGCCCTGTTGATGTCAGGCACTAAAAAACGGATGTGATGCCCTGCAATTCTCCCCACCGTGAAATGCCATGCCAGTACGGTTGCTCCTGTCGCCTTCCGTTACTGACTGTTGCGGGCCTCCGTGAACCTGCACGGAAAAGGAACGCGGTGCATGCTGGCCCGTGGCCCTTGCGGCTTCGGCGTCGAAATTGGCCTCGCCCTCGGTCTTCCCCGATGGATATCCGACACCTGCAGCAGGCCCTGGACTCGCTCGCTCGCTCCTAAGCACCCGGGAAAAGGAGCAGGTGGATGATCCGAGCCCCTTTCCAACACGTCGCCCTGCTTTCCTTTCCTCTCCTCTCGTCCATTCTGCTCTGCTCTGCTCTCAATTGCTTTGCTTCGCTTTGCGATGCTTTGGTTTGCTTTGCTTTGATTTGCTTCACTTTGATTTGCTTTGCGTTCCTTTCCTTTCCTTTCATTTCCGACCCATCGCTGCAAGTGTGCGCAGAAGTATTCTACGCGGGTCCGCTGTAAATTAGTGCTTCGTACACGCCGCACGTCGACTCGCTCGATCGGTCGATCGATCGCTCCGCTTTCCGCTGCCATAAAGTGGGAGGAATCAAAATGCGCCCTTACTACACCACCGACTCCAGGACTCGCATCGCAGATAGCCTCGAAGCCTCCGAGTCACCGGCGAGCCTCACCTCACCTCACCTCACCCGCGAACCATCATGTCTCGGCTTTAGAATGTTGATTGCCGAGCTCCGCATTCATTTATGTACATGTACATGTACAGACCTTTCGGCCTACAGTACTTTCCGGCCCGGGCCTCGTAAATCTTCCACGCGTAGCAACCAACCGGCGACCGCTCGCATCTCTCGACTCCGACTGCTGCCTCATGTCGTGCTTAATTCTCTCGCGCGATTCCGCGGGTCAGATTCCTCTGCGCAAGGACGTAGTGGCGGTGCACTCACCGCTTCCCCAACCCGGACCACGTGAGCGCGAGCGAATCGACGTATGGATGTAATCCGCCTATGACACAGAGTTACCGAGCGTCGATGCGAAACCGATAATGCGATTTTGTGTGCGCATCTCCCGTTAATGTGCAGGTTAGTGCGCCAATTAGCCTCCTCACTCGGCCAGGCCTCGCCTGTAGCACCCAATATTATATAGTATAATTGCTCGTGGCGTTAACCTACTAGTTCTAATTTCCTGCTCCTCCTAAGCTTCCTCCTCCTAAGCTTCCTCCTCCTCGCGCAGTCTCCCGTGGCTTGTCGACTCCCGTAACTCTGGCCATTTTTTTACCCTTGAGGTGTCGCGACCCGATGCAGACTGCGGTGTCTATGTTTATCTGCGATCAGTCTAGAGTCCTAGACTCATGAGTTCCTCATGATGGCCGTCTCGCAGCCTAGGCTGTGCTCAAAAGCTCGGGATGGGCTGGAATCTGTGCTGCACAGATTTGACGTTTATTTCCGTGGCCGTGGCCGAAAGCTCTCCGTGATGGAGAACAGCTGCACGTCAGGCATCTTTCGGCTTCACGTGAGATATCGAGGTAACTTGTTCGGCCACCCAGATGTGGTCTTTGCTTACGTTGTACGATTACATATAAGGGCAGAGTATCGATCTGCTTCGAGCTGGAACGATCGGCAGGTCCGCAGACGAAGAAGAAATGGACCGGGACAAAATTAGACTCGAGAAGCGTTTAAAAGTACGAGTTGCGATCGGCAGACGATTACAGAGTATCTCTGATTAGTCCTGCTACTTGTACACGGCCGCCCAGGAAACCTCATCGACCGATCGAGACAGTGATAAAGGATTGCTTCACTTAATATAACGATGTGATGTACATGGACGCCAGTTCGTCGTTGAGGAAGCCCGACTCTTTCCATGATTTCGTCAGTGAGGCCACCGGTGAATGAGATACTTTCAAATAAAAGCTTGAAGACTTTCTTGATCTCTTTATTGGTTTAGAACAATTTTTCGACATGTATAAAGCTAACTGTAATCTCAGACAGTTCACCGAGCCCGTCAGGACTGTGGGTAAAAAAGTTCACTCATCTATATACAACAAGTGGCGAGGCCCCTGTAATATCCTCTAATAGATCCAGATTTATAATGCTCCTGGCCTCGGAAGACTGGTGTAGCAGATCACACACCCTACGAGGAGTAGTACTAGAATCATGACCTCTACCAAAGCTGCCAATGCCTGCCTCGAACTTCGGCTATGAAGACTCCGACCACGCAAATTTCTCGTAGACCATGTGGATGGAAGGCGCTCGAATGAAGGATCGAGGTCTGCCGCTTTCCGCAAGACTGGGAAGCGAGACTCCGTGCAGGGAATAGTTGCCACAGAGCTGCTAATAAGCTAAAAAGGTTTATCGTGTATGAGTAATTAACATCCAATACTCTGTACAGGAGAAGAATTCGAAGAAGTTCTCGACAGCGTAACGATGAACACCGACTGACTGACTAACTAACTACTCGCTGACTGAACCTTACTGAATCATCGATGGGAAGCTGAGGCAGTCAATCCGCTCTACTTTGGCGATCCACTGCCGCTTCCACTTCTGGGTTCGACCGTTGTCATCCAAAATTGACCACACCTCGGTTGGAAACGCCACAGAGCATCAATTTTGACTCAGAAAACCCTGCAGCAGATCTCCGTCCGGAACAATGAATTAATGCAGAGAGTTTTCTGAGGGGGCGTTCGCCACACGACCTCGGGCAAAACTGAATTCTGCTAGCGCCGGGCTCTCCCTTCCCTGTCCCAATCGTGTGACTGCCAGGCCTTCGATGAGGGTGGGAGGGGGAGCCTAAAATGTGGGTGTCCGTCCTCGGAATGTACAGGCCAATACGTTGACAACGATCCCCTGTAGTCATTGACGATGACTTCTCCTCGGGGTCCTGTCCTTGTCCAGAACCTCCATGCTCCTCCTCTCGTCTCTCAGTTCCGCCTCCATGCTCCGCATCTTCTGTTCCAGCTGAATGAGACGCAATTTTTCGGCCAGCTCGCTGATTTTCGGTCTCTTGGTGGGATCCTGGTGACAGCACAGAATGGCCAGCTCAATAACCTCCTCTATGAGTATTTTCAGGCATTGCTTGCAGGGGCACGGGGCCAGAATGCACTCGTCCACAATTTCGTCCAGTCGCTCCAGACTGTACATCTCCATGACGAGATCGGGAAGGAAGCTCTTGGATCGGGAGGGGTCGCCGGCGTTCAGGCTGGTGACCAGCTCCATCAACACCACACCGAAGCTGTAAACGTCGGTCGTGTCCGTGAGCTTGCCCGTGCTCTCGTAATGAGGGTCCGTGTACCCGCGCGATCCTTTCACTTTCGTCTGACAGTAGCTGCGGGCTTTCTTGGGCGACACGGCGGCGGCCATGCCGAAATCCGCCAGTTTGGCCTGTCGGTGGTCGTCGAGCAGAATGTTGGAGGACTTGATGTCGCGATGGTAAATGGGGAACTTTCGGTTATAATGGAGCTGCGAGATGGCATCGGCGACGTCGATGGCGATGCTGAGTCTCTCGTTCCAAGTCGGCTTTTTGCCGTGAATGCCCTGCAGGTGCTGCTCCAAATTGCCACCCTCGACGTACTCGTAGACCAGAAGCGGATCCTGCTCGTACGACGAGAATCCTATCAATTTCACCAGGTTCGAGCTCTTGGGCAGGCTCCGATGGATGAACACCTCGTACAGGATGTCCTCCAGCGAGTGCCCCACCACCTCCGTGTACCTCTTGACGGCCACCACGCGATCGTCCGACAGCACTCCCTTGAACACCACTCCGGCCTTGCCCGCCCCCACCGTCTTGTGCTCGGAGAAATTGTTCGTCGCCGTCTTCAGCTCCCTGTACGAGAACCAGCATATCTGAATGTTGGCTGCCCTCTTCCAGTACCACTGAATGAACAGCGAGTCTGCATGCAATGCCCACCAATCGAGCTCAAGTCAGTCCATAATTCCATCGCGCCCTCGCCTACGAGCGAGCCCGTGTCCCCCCTGTCTCCACACTCAGGGCACTCCTGACAGGCAGCTCGAAAATCTACCTCCGAGGCCTTCCACGAGGAATCGCAGGAAAGAAAACTCGCCAGAGACTGACTGGACACGAGGGCCAGGGCAGTCTGAGGGACAGACGGGCAGGGCAGGCTGCAGGAGAGGTCTGCAGATTGGGGGCACACGGGCTCGGGAGACGTGGATGCAATTTTCACTCTCGCAATTCTACGAAAAAAGCCATCGTCATCATAATCATCATGCATCACGGGAAGCGGAGCACGGCGCTCGCTTGCGTGCTCGGGCGCCGAATTGGTCGATTGTTACGGACCGACATTTTCGAAGGTGATGAAATGACTTTCGACATTCGGACATTCGACAGGGCAGAGGAATGGCAGCTCACCTCCGACGGCGTGGTAGTAGGCGAAGAAATCCTGCACGAACTCGGTCCATGTGGATAACTGGGGGTAGTAGATGAGAGAATATTTGATGTGCGTGGACGCTAGGAGGAGAGTGTGATCGGCGGATAATCCTTGTTGCAACGCCCACTGAGTGAACAAAGTGAGCCAGCTCATGGCTGCCTGTTTGTCTTCATCGCCGGTGAACACAGGAACGACGGCGTTTCCCGTCCGGGGCTGCGGTATGAGCGAGTCAATGCACTTGAATTTGAACTCGTTCCGAAACTCTTCACTCAACGCGTACTGCGGCATCCTGAGCACAGCAGTGGTAATGATGCAACGAGCAGAACCTCAATGCGAGTGCGGAGTGCAGTGAAGTGCAGTGCAACGACGATTCGGCGCTGAACTCCTGGAGCGAGCTAGCTAGCTACAGAGAGCTCACTGGACGCAACGCCCGGATCCCAATTGCCGCGCAGATCACAGGAGAGCCCAGGAGCACAGAGACACCATCACCGCGAAAAAATCTATGAATCCCCAGATTCCCGAGTCATGAGGAAGCCGCTACCCCGCATACATCGCGCACCCCGCTGCTAGCCATTGACAACAATGGAGGCAAGGCCGATTCATGGGTGGAAGGGAGGTCTGGGAGGCGGTGCTGGTCCTGCTGGAGTGGCTCTCATCAAAGCAGGAATTGGACAGCACTCCTGCTATCTACACTCCCTCGGTTTCTAGGCTGTGGGGCACGGTGCCTCACCCACAGCTATCGTCTGCCTCGGCAGCAGGAGGCAGCAGAGTAGGCCAGAGCTCAAAGTTCGAAGACTCTGAACTTCTGAGACGCCTCCTGCCGCTTTGCTCTGATCAGACTAGAGTTGGCACCAGACTGCGCTACAAAAGCACTGTAAGACACACTTTGAGCCCGGTTATGGTTCAGCGGGCCCGGCTCAATAGAATGGTAAATCGCTTCCAGTGATGTGGCCTGCTAATTCCTTCTTACACTTATGTGCTAACGATACATCCCATCAGTGCTTTATATGCAAGCAGCTCAGGGCCTTCACTTATATTGTCGGCTCTGGCATTACGATCCCGACCCCGACCCGAGCCCGGCTTTCAGCTCTCCTCCGAAACAGCTACAACCTCTAGACTTCCCTCGCATGACATCCACGAATCCTCAATTTTTCAGTCCGAGCCCAAATGGACAAAAGCCTTGTGGACCAGTAAAACTGGTGGCTTGGTCCCAGTCAGAATGCCACACTGCCATGGCTGCCGAGCTCCGTTGGAGGGAAAGTTTACTAAAGTGAAAAATGAAGGACTGGTCAGATTTGTCCTGCCGTCATACTCGAGCCTCAATTGCTTCCAAGCAGTGAGGGAGCACTGGGAGGGAGGGAGGGAGGGGAGATGTGCCGAACAGCATGAGTTCAGCCAATGTCCGCTCTCGCAAGACTCCTTGCAAACTGCGTCTTAAACCGCATTGATCGTCCATGATAAGGGGCAGTTGGGGATGATTTCTATTTCAAAGCCGGACGTCCGAGATTCCCTCCGATTCTTGCAAACAGGGGTCCGCTTTGGACATGTTCGTATTTTAGTAGTAAACAATGATTATGTTAAGAGCACGTCTAAACAAATGAGAGCCGAGGTCAATACGGGCATGCACTACCTGCACTGTGGCCCGTAGCAATGAACGAGGACAAACTCATCGAGCGAAGAGCATGTGAGGTCCGACTCTCCCTTTACACTACCACATGATTCCATCACCGGGAGGATTAGATGGGCAACGATTACACTACACACCAATGTCTCCGGTCCTCTAACTTATTAGAGACCCACGTGAGGGGTTTATCACGAGGGCAAAACACCCCTCACGGCACAGTAGAGGTCAAACTCTGCGCTGACTGAGGCCCTTGTGATTAGCTTCTGCTTCCATATAAACCCGGTGGCAGCTCGTAATACTCCACGGCCACAAGGTATGGGTGCCAGTTCCCGTAATAGAAAACTGCAGTTGGCGCTGCGGCGAGATGAATGTCAGAGGGGACTGAGCGTCTTGTCCCACAGCAGTAATGGCAGGTGAAGTCGTGGGACCATCGAGTGGGCAGGAACATGCTTGCCGGGCGTGACCCACTAAAGTATCTGTGACGCGTGGCCTCCACGTAGATCCAGCCACAGCTGGACTGTCCAAATGTCTCATGGATTTTGTCAGTATCTTTTCTCCCTTGTTTATTTGCTCCCGAGGGGAGTTCGCAATCTGCTTTTGCCTCGTTTGTGTGGTCACTTCACATCGACCTTCGTGGCAAGTTGCACCTTGATTTCGTTTTTTTATATCTTTTTGCATCTTGATCAATTGCGCCTGTTTATGTAAAGCTTACGGTGCCGCGATGTTTCGCTCTTTCCAGTCTGTTATCGACTATCAAAACAGCCTCTCAGGCTAAGAAAGTGCAGGTATGCAAGCAAAAGTTCAAATGGACAAAATCTCGAATGGACGAGGAAACAACCTCATTGTTCGAATCGAGTGGTAAATCCCGAATCCAGAGAACGAAAGCATTGCAGTTTAGGATATCCACGTGCCGGATAAAACACGTGAGAAGTGGTGGAGATATACATTCCCATCCGTTTTCGCTATTACTCGGTGCCCACTCGAAGGAAAGATTTTCTGTATTATCCGCCTCAAACTTAGAATTTATATTCTACGTTTGGTTTTCACACTTTTCATTCCTTCTAGATGCCCTCCGGGCAACTGGCAGACTAGGCCAGACCCGCTATCTGAGCTAGACTGACCTTGAAGAAACACTTCAAAATTGCAACTTCGACTACAAACCAAATGTCGACATTATATTGGATGTGTTGCGACACGTCCATCTTAGTATAAATAAATTAGAACTAGTAGCACGAACTTGCATGTAACGAAGAAAACGGAAACAGTTTTATTCGGAATGAGCATTGTGAATTATTCTCTATGTTTTATACATCATCTCAAAGTACTATAAGCATACCATGTTCAAGATATCTTAAATGCTAACTTCTATAAATAGTATCATATCAAACGAACAACTTCAAATACATCGATTATGATTGGTAAAAAGTATTTTTTTGAATCAAATGTTTTGAAAGTTTTGCAAAAATTTCAAGATATCGTGTTTGATTCAAGATAAAGTCATATTTGAAATTAAAAAATGGTCACTATCAACTCAGGTCCGAGGTTAGCTCTAGTTAGCTTAATCCTAGAGATTAGGTTTTATGATTTTGCTGCAAATTATAAAGAGGGCAAGCCATAGCTCTACTTTTCCTGAAATGTAAACAATGTTTAGATTTTAGTAAAACCTTCTCATGGAAGTAGTCTGGCAATCGCGAACCATGTATATGTCGGCGTCGTGTGTCTCCTTGTGTTTTTCTATGTTTAGATTAGCTGTCTTTTGTGGCTTTCTTGATTTTTGTTCTTACATATATATGCTTAGTGAACAAAATGATGACTTGCAAAAAAATTTAACTAAAAACTAAATATGAATACATGAACATAGATTTTATGGATGATGTAATTGAGGATAGAAAAATTTAAAAAACATAAAAAAATTTGATTACCAAGAATTTTTTGAATTACTTTGTGACACCTTAAGTACTTTACTATCTTAGGAGATAATACATTACATATGTTCATATTTGAGTTCACATATGTGCTCTTGGCACTAGCTAGAAATTGATCTTCAGAAACTTTTTCTAAGTTAGTTGTTTTTTTCTTGAATTGTGTTTTTCAGCCTTTTGATACTTTGGGTCCCACTGGCTTGATCTATTTATTATTTACATATAGCAATCAGAGCCAGTTGCAATTAATACACTCAGAATTGAAATTTTAATTAGTTTCAATAATGATGTTAGAACACCTAGATTTCAAGAAATACAATTTTAAATCAAAATTCATACACGTATTTATTAAATTTAAACATGAGAAGAGTTAGATAAAATAAAATATGTAATATGGAGTAATATCAAATCACATTATAGTGAGTGCTCTCATTCCAATCATCAGTTTTCTGAATGATCTTAAACCGTAGCTCCAGCATTCAAACTTTGATCTTCAACCCTTGCGCCTTTCTTATCTCGAGGATTTCTTCCCTAGTTGGGAGTACTTGGTCATCCTACCTTGTTGCGTCCTCTCATCACACTTTCAATATTTGTGTTTGCTCGTCGCTCAAGTTATGGATAGTCTTACTCTCGCCACTTGTAATGATGTAAAACCGTAAGACCAAAATTTTGCTCAAGTAGAAACTTAGCTTGTTATCTCAAACGATGTTGCATCGATCTAGGATTTCTTTTTCGTAACGACAACCTTCAGTGAGTATGTAGGACTTGGGTGTGAGTCTACTACCATCATCAACATTGTAGTAAAGCAATTTGCATACCTATAAATGAAACACGATAAATCTACAGCAGCAACTTCTGTAGGGTCTAGGGTTTTTTCTCCAGTGTTTTTTTTATTTAACTTTGATGTAGATCGATAAAAATAATTTAGAAAAACTCTACTTTAAGGAGAAGACAACTACTGTTTGTACGAGATAAGAACAACATTGCTTTGTGTTATACTAACCAATCCAGTTGGTTTGACCATGTTTACTTGATCATTATCCACCATTCATTTCCTTTGTCAATGATAATTTCTTGATGATTATTCAAAATGAAAAATAATAACAACAAGTAATCATCAAGTAATGAACGATATATCAATGATTTAATGGTAGATCAAAGACTATCATTGAATCATGTTGGAGAGATACGCCATTATTTTTTAGTAATCAAAGTAATCAGTGTGGTTCAAGACATCAAATCTTGCACTTTGTATCACATACAAAGTGATACAATGTATTGTTTATTATACAATTTTGAATATTTATTAGATATTATATTATCAAAGTGAAAATATTATGAAAAAACATATTCAAATATGATGTGAAGCTCTAAAATTTTGCAATCAAAATTCAATGTGATTATGATACAATCATACGCGATCACAATCACTTTTGGACATGATTAATACATAATGTACATGAAAATATTTTGAAATTAATTGTTAAATATTCAAACTGATTAAATGTTTTTTCAACAATACAATTTAACAATCAATTCTACATTTAATATCAAATCATAAGTGAAAAATAACTTCCTAATAATGTTAATTTTCATCTCTAAAATTGATTTTAATAAATATTTTTAAATATAAAATCAAAGTATCTAATATTTGGAATATAAAACTAATAAATATATTTAGAAAAGTATATTTTACCATTATTTTTATATGCTTTTAAAATATCAACAAATATTGTTAATATAATGATTGATAAATATATATATATAAATGAATATATTAAATATAAGTATATCATAATAAAAATCAGTTAATTTAGCAAATTAATTTGACTAGCAATCAAAATGAAAATGATCAATTCTTGATATATTCATTTGAACCAATACGGATAATTTGATGATTTTTTGGACACATCATCCAACCTCTTTATGAAACCTCTTTTGAAACAAACTTGAATAAAATGACAAAATTAAAGTTTTAATAACATCAAGATATTTCAATTCAAACTAATTTCTGGATACTACTTTCACAAATGATTATATTTTAATTGCAAATTAATGAATATATGAAAGTAAAATTACTTATTGTATACTCAATCTATAAAATTTGTTAATTAGTTAATATTTTATAAAATAAAAAATAATTTTTAATTTTTCAACTAAATATAAAATATTTTTAAAATTTAAATATTGCTATGAATTTTTTACACTAGATTTAACGAATGAAATTATGATATATTGAATGATTTAATAATTTTTTATAAGTAATTAGAAATTGAATATAGTCATAATTATGTGTAGAAATAG